TGTGTGTGTGTGTGTGTGTGTGTGTGTGTGTGTGTGTGTGTTTTAGGGAGCAGGAAAAAGGAACTTGGTCGGTGTAGTGGGTGAAGTGCTGGGCTGGTGGAGGGTGAACTCTTGGGAAGGTTGATTGGTGGTTGTGGGGGTTACATAATCTGGTGTCAATTTGGGACTTGAAAGGACTGAGTGAAGAGGTGGAGTCTAGTCTGTCAGTTGGGTCATAGCCAATGAGGTCTCTGTGTGGGCATGGCTTTCTCCTGAGAATTCTGGGAAATCGGTATTTCCTCCTTGGAGACAGGGGACACACTGTCTCTTTCTGCTGACTCCCTGCAAGACATCCCTGAAGAGAATCCACATGGACTTTCCTGATTCAGCCCTGGGAGCTGGAGCAGCTGCATGGAGACCCCTGGCAGCACTGGGATGCTTACACTGCCACAGGATCCAGAGACTTTCTACCCACTGGCCTGTGATTGTCCTGCACTCGACGTCATTGCATGTGTTTCATGAGTCTGAAGAGGACTTTACATATTGGTATCGGACAGATGGGCTAATATCAGATTTATGGGCTTGATATGGTCTGGGCTGGGACATTTTCTCAGTATTCAATTGCTCTTGTATATGAACCTCTTTCTCATATACATGAGTGTCTATGAATTTGTTTCTCTAGTCTACACGGACTATAACAGTGGTTTAAACTGGAAAATACAAAGTTGGTCTGAAATGTAAACTCCCACCTAATTACAATTTTAAAAAAATTATTTTAAAAGAAAAAAAGATTTAAAATACTAAGCCCTGGAGGAAAAACCCTGGTAATGTAGAGGTTGCTCCTTGGGCTGTGATCTGCATGGTCAGCAGTTCTAAACCACCAGCAGCTCCTCAGAGAATGACTGGGCTTTCTACTCCCATAAACAGTTATAATCTCGGAAACCCATAGCAGGTAGCATTGAGTCAGCATTGACTGGATAGCAGTGAGTCTGGTTTTAGTTTTTTTAAGCCCAAAGGTGAATAAATCTTTTTTTAAAGTATTTTTTTTAAAAAAATAAAAATGAAATATTTTTCTATTATAGATTAAGTGGATGCTCACATTTCAGATCATTTACTTTGTATTCACCAGTTTAAATCTCTAATCAAACCTGATCAGAAATGTAAACATCCACTTAGTTTACAAATGTAAAAATTATTTTTAAAAGATTTTTTCACTTTTGGATTTAGACTAGACATTTTTTATTCTAAATTAGGTGGGAATTTAAGTTTCAGATAATCAACTTTATAGTTACCAGTTTCAACCTCCCAGTAGTTCATCTGCTCCTTGACTTCTCCCTCTTGTGATCTATCTCCATTTCACTCAATTAACACCTGTCAACAGTCAAGTTCATTGCTTTATCTTCCCTCCCCCACTCTTCCTGGTAAAGATGAAATCTTTATTACAGCTGACAGCCTCCCTTTTTCCCCCATTGCAGCTGATGTGTTTGAACCACTGACCTTGCAATTGGGTATTCATTGGGCTGTTAACCATAAAGTCAGCAGTTCAAACCCATCAGCTGCACCTCGGGAGACAGATGAAGTTTTCTGCTGCCTTAAAGATTTACAGTCCCAGAAATGGACAAAGGCAGTTCTACCTGCCCTACAAGGTTGCTATAAGTCATAACTGACTCAATAGCGGTCAAAGGAGTTTTACTGTCTTGAAGGGTCACTATGAGGACTGACATGATGGCAATGAGTTGGGTTTGGTTTGGCCAGTCCAGTTTAGGGGGCAGGAGAGTTTAATTGTTATGCATTCCCCAACATCAGACATGAAGAGTCCCAAGGCACTCACTAACTTTGTCTTTCTCTCTTTTTTCCAGGATTTTCCAATCCCTTAAGCTGATTAGTTCTAATTATGTGTAAAAGAAAGAAAATGCTGGTCTTACAAGTTCTGTATGGAGAGAAGGTTTGGAAGGAATTGGGGGACACTAAATTCTCTGGATGGAAGGAATTTCCAAATAAGGACCCCAAACTGCACTGAGAAATACTTCTGGAGAGAGAAGGGAAATGCTATTCAAAGTGGAAAATGATCCTTCTCGAAGTCCTTTAATCGATGGTAAATTCTTCAGAAATCACAAAATGCTGAATCTAACTGCATTTCTTTTGGGAAATATTAAAAGAGTCAAGTCTGCACATTTCTGAGCACGAGGCCAGATGAGAATTGGCCCACGGGGTCACAACCAAATGAGCCAGCACAGGCAGGGGGTATCGGGGTGACTTAAGGCTTATTGCCTCAGACATGGCACCAGTCCATGTCTAATTTATGAATAAAACTGCCTTTTAATACAGTACACATTTACTGCATTTTTAAACACGCGCAGCACCATTTGAAATCAAGAAGACATCAAAACCACAGAAATACTTTCTGTATCTAGAAAGAAATGAACAATGAAGAAGCAAACTTTTTTTAATGTGTCTAAAGAACGGGACTGTCCTTTTTGTCAATTGTTCATAGTGATTTGAGCTCCGAAGTCATCCTTTTCACGTGACTATCAGTCTCTTCTTCAAAGTCGGCTATTTGAGCTTGGACCAGTGAGCACTTGACCACGTCCACTTCTCCACCCCCGTTCTTCCCCCGCTGGAAGTGGATGCTAAGGAAATCCTCTAGGGTTTCTTCATCCAACGACACGTGTTCCATTCCAGTCAGGAGCACCGTCCTGGAAGATGTTCCTGAAAACACCTACGGAGGAAAAAGAAATGGAAACGTTGTCAGGATGATGAGAATTACAAAACTTTCCATCTCGACCCTCTGCTCAACACTGTGAAGTTTATCTTGAGAAAAACAGGGAGCCTCCGGAAGTTCGTGAAGGAGAAGAAGGTTCTGAGTTTTAGAAAGATCACTCTGGTGGCATTAGAGAGGCTAAGCTAAAACAACACTAGGAGCTGAGTCAGTGACCCAATGGGTGTTGACAGTGAGGCAAAAAGTAAGGAGCGAGTATGCGTTCTAGCTTTCAGAGAAAGATAAGACCAGACAATCATGAGACTAAAGCAATCCACTGGTGGTTGGACTAGTAGGTAGTGATCCCACTGAATAACGGGAAATGTGCAGAGAAAAGGAGCAGGGTTAGGATAATGATAATGAGTTCAGAGAAAATGCTGATGAAGAATCATTGCTAACATCCCATCATACTGAAAAAATGTAAGTATGTCTCCACATAGAAAAAGAGAAATACAACTTTCCTCTAGTTCCTGAAGGTTTCCTCCCCGCTCCCACTACCATGACTCGAATTCGACCTTGCAAGTCTGGCTAGACCAGAGGAGGTACACTGGTACAGATAGGAACTGAAAATCCAGGGAATCCAGGGCAGGTGAGCCCTACAGGACCAGTGGTGTGAGTGGCGAAACAGGGAGGATAAAGGGAGAATAGGTAGGAAAGAGGGAACCGATTACAAGGAACTGTGTGTGACCTCCTCCCTGGGGGATGGACAACCGAAAAGTGGGTGACAGGGCAAGATATGACAAAATACCAATTTATAAACTATCAAGGGCTCATGAGGGAGGGGGGAGCGGGGAGGGAGGGGGAAAATGAGGACCTAATGTCGGGGATTTAAGTGGAGAGAAAATGTTTTGAGAATGATGTACAAATGCGCTTTACACAATTGATGTGTGTATGGATTGCGATAACAGTTGTATGTGCCCATAATAAAATGTTTTAAAAAAAAAGAAAAAGAAAAAGAAGGTTTGTACTGTTTGCTTAATACCTTCAGTTAAACGTTTGCGTCACAAATTAAATAAGGTACGGTTTTGCCTTAAGGCACTTAAAAAAAAATTAGCCCAGTCTGCATCAAACATAAGTGAGATTTTTATATACCCTATCAATAAGATTCAAATAGTAGCAGACTCACAATTTTCTTTCTTCTTCTCTTTTTTTTGGGGGGGTGGGCGGGGGAGTGGGCTGAGGTTCTTCAGTGAGTTCCCAAAATAAAAGAATATTCTTTACCTGAAACTTTTCCAAGTGTTTTTCTATGTATGGAGAAACCATAACTCTATAGCACTTTTGGTTTATATAAAGAGGATAGTCATCCTTTTTCAAAAGCTTGCCAGCAACTAAAAGTGAAAAAAAAAATCTTTTTAACATCATTTTTAAGCCAAAATTAAACTGCCTTTAAACTGAATAATATCACAACGAACACAGAATTGGGTGGCAGCTAGTTTTTTTAAAATGCTGCCAGGCTTTTGTGGTTTTATTTATTGAGAACTGGAAGACCAAACAACAATGAGATTACAGCAGTCCCCTCTGTCCTGAACTAGCCATCGTAGTCCAGTGCACAGGAGGCTGCTCTCTGCTCTGACAGAACAGTAATGGCCTCCACAGGTCACAACAGACACCTGTAAAACGAAACCCATCTGGGGCCATTCCTAGTTTCTCAAGAAATGCAAACCAAACTATGACTGCAACGTAACGATGTCAGGAAGCTACCAAATAGCCGGTAGTACTTTAACTAATAGATTAGAGGTAGCGATGTTAGCCAAAGGGTAGAGGGCAGGCATGTCCTCTGGCAACACTGAAATCAAATAATACAAATGGACAAGTGTATGAGTATAAGGCCGAGACAAAGAGGAGGCTGGCTTATTTCTTAACAGAAATATCCCTACAATGGAGAAAGGCAATGTGTAACGAACTCTTTAAGCTTAATAGTCCCGGCTGTGGAGAACATATGACCGCTTTTGTTTTTAACTCCTCCAGGAAGGTTTGTAACTTTCTGAACAGGTGGGTACCTCCACTTTCCACAAACGTGATGATGGCACTCCGCGACTGATGATCATACTCCACGCATTCCACCTCGCCACCTCCGTTCCTGGACTTGGAAAAGCTCAGCTCTAACTTGTCTCTCATCTGCTCTGCAGGCAATCCATCAGGAATTCCAGTAACATTGATCTTCACGTCAGAAAGTTGTACATGAACCTACAAAGTAATCTCAGATGTCAGAATACAGATGAGGAAAGTGGCCATGAACAACCAATTTCCAAAAATCTTTCATGGCCACATTTCTTCTTTTTTTTTAAAAAAATCATTTTATTGGGGGCTCTTACACCTCTTACATCCATCCATCCATTGTGTCAAGCACATTTATATAAAGGTTGCCATCATCACTTTCAAAACATTTCCTTTCTACTTGAGCCCTTGGTATCAGCTCCTCATTTTTCCCCTCCCGCCCCCACCTCCCTCCTCAAAGACTCTTGACAATTTATAAATTTTTTTTTCATGTCTTATACAGACCGCTGTCTCCCTTCATCCACTTTTCTGTGGTCCATCCCACAGGGAGGGGGTTATATGTTGATCATTGTGATCGGTTGCCACTTTCTCCCCCACCTTCCTCTTCCCCTCCTGGTATCGCTACTCTCATTATCGGTCCTGAGGGGTTTATCTGTCCTGGATTCCTTGTGTTTCCAGCTCTTAACTGTACCAGTGTACATGCTCTGGTCAAGCTGGATTTGTAAGATAGAATTGGGGTCATGACAGTGGGGGGAGGAAGCATTAAAGGACTAGAGGCAAGTTGTATGTTTCATCAGTGCTATACTGTACCCTGACTGGCTCATCTCTTCCTTTTGACCCTTCTGTGAGGGGATGTCCAATGGTCTACAAATGGGTTCTGGGTCTCCACTCTGCCCTCCCCTTCATTCACGTTGATATAATCTTTTGTTCTGGGTCTTTGGTGCCCGATATCTGATCCCATCAACACCTCATGATCACACAGGCTGGTGTGCTTCTTCCATATGGGCTTTGTTGCTTCTCAGCTAGAAGATGGCCACATTTCTTAGTGATCTAGTACCAATATAGCAAAATACATGCGGATAGTTTAAAAACAAAAATTTATTTTCTGTCAATTTAGGGGGCCAGAAGTCTAAATGCAGGATGCTGGCTCTATGGGAAGGCCTTCTCTCTGCATCAGCTAGAGGTAGGTTCTCGTTTCTTCAGCTTCTTTCCTGGTTCCCTGGAGCTCTCCATGTGGCTTGGTTTATCTCCCCTCATATTCTTTTGCTTAATCTGCTCCTTTATATGAGATTAACTCAATTTATGCCTTTCACAAATTCCACCCAGTTAACATAACAGTGACAACTCATTCCAAATGGGATTACAACTGTAGGTGTGTTGTTGTTTAGGTGGTCTGTTGCAACTCATAGCAACTCTATCTAACAAAACAATCAACTGCTGGTCCCATGCTATCCTCACAACAACGGCTAGGTTTGAGCCCACAATTGCTACAAATAAATCCATGAATCTGAGAGAGCGTACAGGGAGTTATGAAAACTTATACATAACCACACACCTTGAGGAAATGAGTCACTGGACCTGTGGGATCAAAACCACAGTTCTGGAAGACACAAAGGTCAATTGGCATAACATGGTTCACCGTGACAATATTCTACATCCTACTTTAGTGCGTATTGACTGGGGTGTGGGGAGTGGGGGTGCGGGCCTTAAAACCTTGTACGCTCCCAAGGCCAAAGTTCACAGGGGTAGGAATGAAGGAGAAAGGGAAATGGGAGACACAGGGAGGAAGTGGGATAGGGTGTTGGCACAGTGAAGGTATTGCCATACATGGGTGGAATCGAACACGTATGAATTATTGAATGTGAAGCTATGATTTGCTCTGCAAACCTTCATCTAATTAACACACACACTTTTCTTTTAAGTATATGAGTAACCATGTAAGGTATAGCTGTTAATTTCTCCCCATCTAGAGGAAAAATAGAAAATGAGAATCAAAACACATACAGAAACATATAGTCCCATGGACTAATGGCTCCACAAACATCAGCCTCAAAGGCCCTGGTGCCAGGTACCACTACCAACTACTCTGAAAAGGATCAAATTCAAAGAACCTGGGCGGAGTTGGAGAAAAACGCAGAACCAAACACAAAATCACAAAAAGATAACTGGCTTACTGATCAGCCAGAGACTGGTGCGACCCCAAGACTATGGCCTTTCAGGTTTGGAACTGAATTCTCTCCTGGGGTAGACTAATCAACCATTGAAAACAAAAGGGCTGTATTTCCCCAAAGATAAAGTAGAAGGCGTGACAGGAACAGGACACAAGGGGCAGGCGTGGTGGTACATGGAGTGGACTGCAATGGATGAGTTGAAACAAAATGTGTATGGACTGTTGAATGTAAAACTGAGGATCTGCTCTGTAAACCTTCACCTAACTCACAATGCAAAATTAAAAAGAAAATCTCTTAGCTAAGGTCAGGCACCCCTTTGCCCTCAAAGTGATATATTTGTTCTTCCACATTGTAAAGAGGCCTTGTGTGGAAGATGTGCCCAATGCAGTACATTATCTGAATTCTTGACTACTGCCTCTATGAGTGTTGACTGTGGATTCAAGTAAAATCACCGCTCTCACAACTTCAATCTTTTCTCCATTCATCATGACGTTGTCTATTAATCCAAATGTGTGGATTTTGGTTTTCTTTACACTGCATTGCAATCCACACTAGAGGCCTTCGATCTTTCATTAACGAGTGCTTCAAGTCTTCCTCACATCAAGCAATCACACTTGTGTCATCTATATATTGCAATTTTTTCATGAGATTTCCTCCAATCCTGGTGCCATATACTTCCTCCCATATTGTCCAACTTCTCGGATTATTAGCTGAGCAGACAGACTGAGTCAGCATGGTGGAAGGATACAACCATGACACACACCTTGCCTAGTGTCAATCACTCAGTATTCCCTTGTTCTGTTCAAATAACTGCCTCGTGGTCTAGGTACAGATAGAGGCACCAAGGTTAGAATTTGCAGCATATATTTCTGGGAAACAATTCAATGTTACCTGGAATGTGACTCCTGAGTTTAATTGAACTGGCTGGGCCTTAACCTCCACGGCTTCATCCTCTATCTGCACGGAATGTTTTCCCATTCGTATCACATTTTGGGCAACTGAGAAACAGTTTGGAAAGTATTAAAGTCAAAATAGTTCAGAAAATTTTATGCTCTCAATTTGAAACAAATCATGCTATGTCTCTTAAGTTTCTGTTGATTTTAAAAGGTCTCATTTTAAAATCTACTTTAGAATTTCCAAGTGATAATAGTCATGCTGGAACCCTGGTGATGTAGTGGTTATGCGTTGGGCTGCTAACCTCAAGGTCAGTAATTCGAAACCACCAGAGACTCCACAAGAGAAAGAGGAGGCTTTCTACTCCTGTAAAGAGTTACCGGCTCAGACACCCACAGGGGCGGTTCTGCCCTGTCCTATCGAGCCACTATGAGTCTTAGGGCATGTTATCAGTAGAGTCCAGTCCCTGAAGGGTGTCATGCTTGATGAAGCAGAGGGGCAGCAAATAATAAGAAGGCCCTGGATGAGACGGACTGACACAGTGGCTGCAATAATGAACTTAAGCACAACAATTGTGAAAGGATGGCATAGGACTGGGGGGTGTTTCGTTCTGTTGAACATAACGTCCCTACAAATTGGAAACAACGGACAACACCTAACCATCACAAGAGTCAAGTTGCGCGAATGGGATCTGTTAGTATTAAAATAATTGACACCGGCAACATTTGACAGGGAAGAACGTCGCAACAAGTTAGATCCATCTTTTAAGGAAGAACCCTAATCATGCTTTCAGAATTATTATCTCAGTTAAGCCCTATCCTCATCTGTTCCACTGCTGACGTTACCAGACAATTCTCCTGCTACTCTAAAGTACAGTCAGAAATTCTTCTGTATTGAGTAAGCTGGAAAACTCTCCCAAGTCAGTATCACTCTTACAATTAATCTTAATTTTATTTAACTTTATTACTTAGCATGACTTCTTACACACACACACACACACACACACACAACCAAACCCATAGCTACTACGCCGATTCTGACTCATAGCAACACTATACAGAGTTTCAGGGACTGTAAATCTTTACGGGAGCGGACAGCCTCCTCTTTCTCTTGCAGAGCAGCTGGTGGGTTTGAACCTCAGACCTTAGGATTAGTAGTCCAACGCTTACCCAACAGCATTTCCAAGGCACCTCTCTTAATATAAGCACCACAGAAATATATGTCTTCCTAGGGATTAGGTATTAAAGATCAAATAGGCTGGAATATCAAAAGTGGGGATGGGGTGGGTTGCCACATTTAATGAGTATTTCTACTTTGGCTAACATGCTCTTGAACTCACTCTTTAAAAAGTAGATAGCCCGATATTCTGATCATCAACTCTCAACTCTAATTTATGCCTACAAATGCAAGCAGCTCAATACAATTATCCAGAAAATCATTAGAACACCAAACAGCAACTCTCTGGCAATTTCTAATGTATGTAGGTATACGATTATTTTTACCTGTGTGACATACAGCCCTGACACGGTCATTGTTAATACTGGGGCTGCTTATTCTAGTTTTCCACAATGACAAGATGTGCTCACTCCCTATCTTCCTGTCTTAGAAGGTTCACAAGTGCTTCTGACAACCAGATAGCACCCCACAGCTGGGGGAAGAGAAACGGCTAGAAGACAGGGCATCTCTGTGTGAAAACTTAGTCTCCCTGCACCACAATATGAGTCTGTACCTTGGGGTTTTCTGTTTTTGTTTTTCGCTAATGACAACAGGCAACAATAACAGAAAATATCAGTGAAATCAGACTCAGATGATGGTCTTTTCCTCCCACTCTCCGCAGAGCCCCAACATCTGGAAAGCTGACGCAGCTCGGAGGGATTGCTTCTTTCAGCTTTTGTGAATGACTCTGTCAGAAGCTATTTAACTGCTGTTTAAGTGCCAGCACCTAGTTGTCCCAGGACGGGGCCCTGGAGGCTTACCAAGGGTGGAACCAGTGATGTCACTGTTTCTGAAGATCATCCCCATCCTAGTTCCAACAGTTCCAGCTAATTCTGTGCGTAAGCTCTGCCTCCTGAACACTCAACTACAGCTTTCAGTAACCTTCTGGTTCCCACTGCCAACAGCCAATGTGGTAGTCACCTTCCTGCCTTTGCCCTCAGACGCAGGGGAGGCTCCAGGATTGAACAAACACACACTGGCCAGATATATTAGATGAGCCTTGACTGGCCTACTGGAATGCCTTTCTTTCTAACTTTAATTTGCGGGCTACATTGGTGGACCAGGTGTGAGGAGTCAGGGACTAGAATCACGTTTTCTCAGAATCTGAGCCGAAGTAGGGCTTTCGAAAACCATCTGATCCCACCTATGCCTTGAGAAATCTGGGGCAAAGACAGTGGGCAGATAGGGGCCTGGCCGGAGGGCGCTGGCTCAGTGTCAAGTCCAGGGGCACTGAGGACATGGCCCTCCGCTCTGCAACTTGCTGCCTGGGTTACGTCGCACCAGCTGCTTACCTTCTTTTCTGTTTCCTTATCTGGACATGCCTGACATGTAGCAATAATGAGAGCTAACATTTATGGAGCGTTTATTATGTGTTAGACACTGAGCTAACTAGTTGATGAACACTTCCCGTTTAATACTCAAAGCAGGCCTATGAGGTAGGCACTACCACAAAATCAGTTCTACAATTCTGAGACTTAGTGGATGGTTAAAGAACTCCCCCTAAATCACACTAGTAAAATGGGGCAGAACTGGAACCCAAACTCAACTCCTCTTCACGAAGGCACCCCTAACACTGTGCAGGGCCCAATGTCCACAGCAGACTTAGTGACTATCAAATCCCATCCAAATCTGACCCCAGAATGCTTTCTGTCTTACGCTCAGTCATAAACCCACAGGGAAATCACTTAAACTTCCTGAGAATCTGCTTTCTTGGCTACAAAATCCAAATCGCTTCTACCTGATCCTATTACTTTCATATAGCTGTGTGGGTGTAAGCCGAGGGATCTGCGCAAACACCCCGAGACCTGTGTAGAGCTCTACTCCCCTAGAATATGATACCGTTACTCTGATTGTTATTATTAAAGAGGCAGGATGTAGAGTAGAAGGGAACCCTGATAGTGCTGGAGGTTACATGCTGGGCTGCTAACCCCAAGGTGAGAGGTTCAACCCCACCAGCTGCTCCAAGGGAGAAAGCTGAGGCTGTCTGATCCTGGGAAGGTTTACGATCTCAGAAACCCCAGTGGAGGGTCACTATGAGTCAGAATCGATTTGGGGCTGGTGGAGTTCTTTTGGAAGTGGAGCAGAAAGAGGCTATTAGTCAACGTGATACCATTTGGGTCTGAGTCGCAGAGCCACCATTTTCTGAATGAGGTTTCATATTCAAGTAGCCGACCATCTCAGTCGCCTTTTCTCATATATAAAACATGCGCACTCATACCTACCTCAGGGTATCGTTATGAGGATAAAATGATGATTGTAAAAACCATAAAGCCATCACTTAAAGCTCTGAAAATACTTTGCAATTGTTTTCCAAATGGAATGCGATCACACTTTTGAACCGAGGTCGTACCTTCTTCACTTTCAAAGGTGATGAGCGCTTGCCCTCTTTTTAGTAGATAAGGAACTCTTGCTTTCACTTGAAAAGCACAAGATGCGTTTAACAACTTGCTGTCATCCTCGGGATTCTCTATGGATAGGAATTTCATCTTTTTTTCAGGAAAATCCTCTCTGAACTAAATCAAACAGAAATGTCTAATTAGAATCAAGCTAAGAAATAACTTAAGTCCCCCCATAGATAATGTGATTTGATCATCCAACAATCCATTTTCCACAGTTACAGGAGCCCACAGAGCACTGAGTGTGCTCTTACTTATCTTTCCTTCTTCCCGGGTAAGACCACTTAATAGTGCAATCAAACACTGACCCTGTAATATGATTTCAGAGATGAAATTAGAAGCTTATGATCCTTTGGCTTTTTCTAATCACTGTTTAAACAGGTCAATATTGCCAAGCATTTGATTCTAAAGCCTACATTATTCATGTAAATAAGTACCTTCTAAATAATAGGTGTGTCAGTAATAGGCTTAAAACATAAGAGAGTCATTAGAAAGCATGTTTAATCTCACTGCAAAGGATTGAAATATAGTCGTGTGTGCTAAAGGTATTAAGACAGCAAATTTTTAAAAAATCTATAGAAGGTTCTCCTGAATTTTATGAATTAGTATTTATCACATTTAAATTCTCCCTTTCCCAGTACCTTCCCATTCCATTACTCCTTAGCCATTACTAGAACTTGGGGTTGTAACAACAGTGTAGTGAAGCACTATCAAGCAGCACTGTTACCCAGAGGATAAAGTCTAATCATTATATTGAGCCACTTCAAGTCACTGGCATGAAAATATCTGTAGAATTATGTACAAATGAAGCAGGTGTTTGTATCTCTAGTTCCCATAACTGCTTCTCATGCTGAAATAAAAGGAGTTCTCCCACAGAAATAAGAAAGAAGGAAATATAAGATTAAGCCAGGTGACTTAAAGAGTACAACAGGGCTTTGAAAAGTTCATGGAGAAATGGAATTCATGGATAGTGAAATCTTTTCGCATACTTTTTGAGGCCATTTGATCTAATCTTGTGGTTATTTTATACCTTGATGTGTACCCTCAGTAGGATTTCTGAGTTCCATAGGCTGACTTCGCCAAACAATTTGCAGTCTTTGAGGGAGGAAAAGGCAGTGTCTTGTGGGCATGTGGAACAGTCAGGGACTTTGGGAGCTGGAATTCTAGTCCTGGTCAGTGTCAAAAGGCAATTTTCTTAAACTCCCAGGACCAGAGTTTCTGTCCTCTATAAAGTGGGAACCGGGCTGGCTGATTATTACAGCGCCTTAGCAGTGCGGGACTAAATGAGCCTGACTCCAGCCTGAGAAGTAACCGGGTCTGTAGTCCAATCTTCCGCTGGATGTCATCTTATCTCATAAGAACAGAGCGCCTCACTTTTTGATATTCAATATCTTATTCCCCATTTGGGAAAACAAAAAGTGATAATGCTCTAAGCATTTAAATTGTTTAAAGAAAAATTAAATTTAATAATGAGGGACTCAGAAGACAAAAAAACAAAAACCCACAGGATAAATGTTTGATCTACATCAAATACAGAAACTTTTCGAAAGAATGTAAATGGTAAACGTTAACATGTATCTAGGTTTTTTACTCTGTGAAATTCATTTCAAACCCTTCAGATCAAAAAATAAAATAAACCCCTCAGATAAGGAGAAGGACTTGAGAAGAAGACCCAAAATTTTGCAAAAGTGATGGGGAGTGTCCTTTGATGTAAATGTAATGGAGCTAGAGCTATAGAAAGGGGAGGATATCATACGTGTACAGCAGGGTGGAAGTCTGCAAAGCGAGCATGCAAAATATCCAAAGGAGTACCTGAAAGTCTCTGGTGTCCACTTGTAACTCAGCTTCAAGCACTTGGATCTCCACCTTCAGCCTATTATTGTACTTCATCATTTCGTCAGCTAAGCTCTAGAAAATATCCAACAGTACTAAAAAGTTATACAACGCTGGCTCCTTTCTCTAAATGAATCCAAGAAGCTAAATGTCTCTCAACCTGAGCATGACAGAGAAAGGTATTGGACATTTTCACAGAAGAGCCCACATTTGCTGATTGTTTTACACCAGCTTCTATTGGTCTTCACATACCACCAAACATCCTTACCCCTGTGTTCCAGCAGCATGGAAACGGAGATGTGGCCAATTCCTGAAAATGGCCCTTCTAGCCAGATTCCCATTTGCCATAATTCCTTTTGTGGTGTATTATCATTTTGGACTCTGTGCCTCTGGCTCTAATCTTATTTTGGAGGTCATTCTCTACTATATGAATAAACGGGATTAGGGTGGGATTAAGACTTGACTTTACTAGCAGGTATGATTTAAAACACCATCCTTTGCTTCCTTGGGGACATCTTTAGGACCTTACTAGAGGGTGTGGCTTTCGACACTACCCTTGGTTTTCCTTGGATGAGGTATATAGATATAGATACAGATATCAATGTATAGTTCTAAGGCATCACAGCATCAGAAAGCCACGCCTCCCTTTCCTAAGCTTTGTTAGACGCAAGAAGGCCTGCTGTGACTTTTGGACATGGTTGACGTCTGGCTCTGCATCCTCCATCTGGCTCACCTCCCTTGGGACAGCGCAGCAAGCACCACCCGTTGAGGCATTTCTTGCATGTGTCCTGGGTTTCTGTGGGATGTCGTCACAGCCAATCAGAGCGTGAAGTGAGGGAATGTACCCAAGGGAGGAGTGAGAGAAAATGGAGCAGAATAGCATCTTGGAAGAGCTGGACAGTTGGGACATCTTTCATTTTCAATTCCTTGGGACTAGTCTGGTATTAATTCTTCAAACAGAAATTATTATCACAGAAACAACAACTTCTTGTACTAGACCAAAGGATTCAGACCCAGGCCTTCTGAATCTTGCTTCAGTGATTGTCTCAGCTCCTTCGCTAGTTATTGTGACTCTGACATGGTGTGGGAAACAGAAGGATTTCTCCCAAGTTGTCTCCCCCAATATCTGCCAAACTGAGCTGCTTGCGAATGACTGTACACTTGGAGGTCATCAGGAGTAGGTCAGGGGTCATTCCCTAAGAGCAATCAGCCATCTAGACCAAGCAGAGACCACTGTTTATCCCACAACAAGTAGGGCCCACTCCCTTCTGATAAGGATAGTAGTTGTCTGTTTCCTTGTAGGAAACGCCAGAGAGGTCAAACCCGCCCTAGGATGACCAAGGTTAGGCTGCCACCATGAATCTAGGGTCCGCCCATCTTGTCACATGGTACCCGTAGACCTTCCCATTCCTATGGGCACACCCTTAGCTCATCCCTGTCCTCTCACACTTATGCCTATCATCCATCCCCTTCCTATGATGTGTATGCCTATTGTACTGCCCCTTCCTGTGACCTGTGGTTACCTGTAATCATGTCCCCCTAAAGAGATATAACCCTTGGTTAGCAATAAAGTTGGGGTTCTCTCCTGCTCTCACGGCTGGGCTCTCCCCATGAAGACCACCAAGCGGGGCTGAGGTGAGCATGCTACCATGAATTGTGTCTGACTCCATTAATTCAATCTCTCTTACTCTCTATGACTTTACTATAATCTTTACTTATTATTGCTGTACAATTGCGCCTACCGAACCTGTGCTGATTTCTTGGGACTCTCCTCTCCCCACAACATGGCTTTTCAATCATTGTGGACATTTGTTAGTCGGAGGCAGTTGAAAAAAGTAGCAGTGACTCTTGTAGTCCACAGATTCCTTAACACACCAGACACCTGGGTGAAGCTAGCGGGGTCTTCCTTTCCTTTGGGGCCTGATCAGAAAGTGACTAATAAACTCTTAATTCCTAAGGGTAAGTCAAAGAAATCAAAGGGAGGGGTTTGGGGAGAAAGCAGTTAATGGTATAAGCATTTTAGGAGAAAAAAATAGATACTTTTCTTTGAAAAAAAAAGAAATAAAAGTAAAAAGAGCTTGGAAAACCCTATAGCTTTCCAAAGTCCTGCTGAACAAGGAGACATATAAAACCTGACCTACTATAAAATGAACAGATACACTTCATCTTAAAGAACATCTCATAATTCCTTTTACCTCATATTCGTCTTTCTTTAATTCTTCACCTTGCTTGTTCTCTTTATCAGCTGCCATGGTTTCCTAGTTATGATAAAAAATAAGTATTTTTTAAATCACATGTATTTACTGATTTAAAAGAAAGAACTGATATACTGATATAGACTGATCAAAAAGAAAGAAAAAACATTTACTTTTTGCCGTGCAGTGAACTGTTTAATATGGCGCTTAGAGCCCTAATCTGTTAATCCCATCAAAAACTTTTACCTGATGAGTATTCATAAGAAAGGGGATGTGCATGAATGAGGGTGGCATGTGATGGTGACCCAATGCCCATCTGTAGACAACTGGACATACCTTGCAGAGGGGTAGTGGGGAGCAGATGAGTCACTTAGGGTTCAGTATAGCAATAATGAAACCCACAACCTTCCTCTAGTTCTTAAATGCTTTCTCCCCCAACTACATTGAATTGATGTAGAACTGATCCCAATTCTACCTTGGTTAGACCAGAGGACCCACAGTGGTACAGATGGGAACTGGAAACACAGGGAATCTAGGACAGATGAACCCCTCAGGACCAG